AATATTGGTTGGTTATCGCATGCCTACAACCACGGGATGTGAACGAAACCAAGTAGATTTTCCCGCGAAAACTGGAGAACAATTGTACAATTCAATAACTATACAGCCTAGTTCAGAAAATGAGTGTATTTATATGTATATCAAATATTTAACACTTGAAACATTATTAACTTGTAGACAATCTACGATTTGATGTTATATCATACTTGATCGTGCCGGTAATAATGGCATGCATTCTCATATAAATTTATGTTTATATGAGAATACACATTATTATTGATATTATTAAACACTTTGTATTAACCAACGCAAAAACCAGAACATAAATTGGCGACTCGAGAATCCGTTATTCTAATGCCAATATGTAACCAACAGTAAGGTTGTTGTACACAAGTTCTAAGAATAAATGTCATAAGAAAAAATCATGATAATAATTCTGATAGTTTTCTCTGTCTTCCAACGAACTGCAAACGAGGAGAAGATGACTGCTGGATTGATGAATCCCGCGAAAAACATCGAGTTGGGTTTAAGCGAACAACCATGAAATGATCGCCCAATCTTCAACTCAGTTGACAAGGATTATTGTAATCAAAGTCTTTTCACAACCATGAGTGGTGTTGCGCGACGTGAGCACACGAACCTGAGCTGTTTCACCTTGTTTCTGATGCCTCTGAAGATGTTGCAAATACACCCGGTGGTTGCCGCCAACCTAAAAAACATGGACTCATTGCATATGAGTCCATTTATGGGCCTGGCACCACTACAACTAGAGAAGGGAGAATATAACTCTCACGTATGCCCAAAAATGTATTTGTTGGCGATGACAGGATTAGGCCATAGCGATACGCAATCACACCACGAAGCCACCACTGAGTTCTTGTCTCTTGAGAATTGTGCTGACCAGATTGTGTTTCAGTCCACATGGATAAACCAATTGACCGTTGACGGTGAAAGGTCTGAGACTCAACTGACTTCAAGAGCTTCTTCGTTCTCCTATCGTATGGGCCCATCTTTGTATATTCAGGCCCACTCCTTGGCGTTGAGGTAAACGTCCCTTATTTTCGCGGGTAGCTGCATAATCCGTTAGAATGCTTGACTGTTATTCCTTCGGTAGACGTCGAGTGGAGTATTTGTGCGCGACAGAATCTTGTGTGGACCACATGACGTCGTGTGATGAAACAGTTGAAATGGCGCGATCGGAGTTAGATATCTCAACAGTCATTCGCTCATCTGGCCGAAGAGTGAGATAATACTGACAGTAACCATAACCGTGATAGTAATAATAAGAATATATCGTTCATGACAAACATACAGTTAAAGAGACAAACAGTTAGCGAGAACCGAAAAACGAATGTATGGATACGCCACGCAACGATTGGCGTTGTAACGGTAGACTAGAAGCGAGGTGGCTAATGAGAATAAAAATGAACTTCACACTATTCTTAAAAGCCCCACAATGCAAAGTCTCTGGAAATATTAAGACGGTAAAATTTGAACAATATAAGCCCTCCAACCTCAGGAAGCATAACTTTCTAGCTGACATATTGGAAGCCTTAAAACATTTGACGACGTGTGCCTAAATTTTGAAGGGAATGGCATAATGTATTCTATGTTTTCAAACCTCGTTACAGTATATATCAGGTCCATAACATAACATTACCTGAAACATGGACTGTAGAACCCTTGGTGTAGCTCACACGGAATATAAGGTGTTCCATGATGGCCGACTAAGTATCTAAATACAAATAATGACTTAATTCGAGGATCACCTTGTCAAAAATCACAGGCAGTGCCTTGCGGCTACCCTTTTATTATAAAGTATGTATCTCGAGTTAGGTCTGTTGACTGACTCTCAACAACTCCCTCCAAGATATTTGCACAGAATTTGCTATGTGCTAGTAGTCCGTTGTATCCTTCACAAAGCGAGTGAGTACATTCTCCGCCGTACCTTCGATATCAGTGTTCGAATTCATACACTCACAACACATTTTTGGATTCATTGAGCTGAAACGTAACTTAACACGTAATTAAGCAGAAAATTCATTAAAGGCTAGTCAAATAAAACCAAGAAACCCGAAATCTGAAGGTGTATACAAGAGGTTGAAAAGTATTGGACATTGGATTTTCAATTTTGTTTAGTCAAGCCATCGCACGTCGGACAACGGACAGTAGTTGAGAGTTGCGCTTACTATTGTAGTAGTTCGTGTCAGAATGTCGGAAAGGTGAGGTTGTCCATTAGTCTACAGGCTTTCAGATGTCTCTCATGAGTGTGTTAGTCGACCTAGGGATTTTGACAGAATGATGTTTGCTTGGAGTTGTCAGCCAATTGTTGTCCAACGGACAAGTATGTCGTGCAGTTGAGGCAGTCATAGTAGTTAGAGATCCAGGTGATATTCAATGCTGATTGTGAATAAAATTGCATACTACAATCTATATGACGGTCATTTGAGCACTAGTGAATTACTCGGTTGTGTTTTGCAGAGGGTTTTAAGGACATTCACGTGGATGTGGAGTACCTGGTGGTTGGGGAGACTGTGGTGAGTCAGGCGGGTCCTGTGGAAATGGGTGGGTGTGGATTGATTTGTATGATTTCTCGCCATTAACATTTCCCACATAACTGCCACCCTCTACGTGCAAAGCTAAGAAGCGTAGAAGTACTTTGGCGCATACCTCACCAATATTCTAGTGTGGTTTCAGTTCCAGCTTGGAAGCAGTGTAACTGAGATATCCCAAAGACTGAACGACTTTACCACAGAGTGGTGACTCAGAAAGTCATCTGAACTTTGGTGCATCAAGCTTGTTTGACGGAATTGAGTTGTCTAACACACTGAGTAGTCGGGTCCACTTGTGGTGTGTTTTGGTGATGGTCGTGCACGTTAACTACAGCTTAGCAGGAGTTCCTGAGAATCTGTGTGGAAAGAAGACTGATGAGGTGTGGCTAACATGGAGGATGAAGAGTGAGTGTGTTGTCTGTAATGCTATGGTAGTATTGGTTCCTACTATCCCAAGAACCATGGTTAGACATGCACACTCCGAAGTCTAGACCACCAGTTATTACGTTGGAGATATGCACTTCGCTTCAACTTTACTAGTCCGAAATCCCGTGTTTTCAAACCTGAGTCGTCGATGGTTGCAGTGGGATAATGATTGTATTACCTCTACCAGACAAAACAGCAAGTAAATATGTACGCCATTGATTGATTCATTTAACTTGTTTGTTCGACTCTCTTAATCCCCATCCCCACCCAATGACTATCGTTGGTGAATTGTAGGTCAGATTTGTCAGCTGCGATTCCACACATAAGATGAGAGTAGGGGAAGCTATGCGACACCTAGTTATCGTCAATTCGACCTCTGATTTGACATTGCGAGGTGTGGAAGTCATGAATTTTGTCCTGTTCATTTAGCCACGGTGGTTTGCAGTTGTTTCATGAATGATGAGTTGGCGAGCAGTAGTATTGTGTCTGTTGTGTTCGGATACGTATTATGTAGTCCGCTGTCATCTTCCAGATTGATTTTTCAGTCAGCCTCCACAAATGACAGAGTAGCACTGTTCGTATTCGTGGAGTGCATAACGACTAATATGTTGTTTTTCACCCTTCAGGTCACGCGTTAACAATTCAGGACCGTTGAAGAAGCCTGCTGAAAGGGTTATCCAGCGTAAGTTTATGAGTGCTCACAATAACTCGTAATAGTTCGTCTGGTTCTGTGTGGAGTTCCAATACACCTAGTGAACGGGGTGATATTCCGTCGTCTTCGGAAGGCGAAATTGTCTCGGAAGCTGCGCGCCAGAAAAAGAGCCATCCAGTCCAAAAGGCTGTGTGAGTACTATTCCTGTTGTTCCTTCAGATAACACGACATGTTTTGTCTTGATGCCTAACTAGCTTTCGTTTCTTTGTTTCAGGTATGACATATCTACGGGGATTTCGAAGTAAGTTGACGTCAAATAAACTCTAACAGTATTTGTCTTCATTGCTTCCTTCGGTAACGCTCCCGAATTGACTATTTTTTCAGACTGAACATACAGAAGACACTCAGAATACCGAATAGACCAGACCAAGGAGGTACAATCGGCAAGAAAGTCAAAGTCACTTCAAACTGTTGGGATTTGACATTTCATCACAGAACGGTATATTTGTATTTTGTGGAGGCCAACTCAGTTCATCGATTGGAAGCTAAGGAGGGCAGTAAAACTGAGATAAGAATGCCACCTAAAGAGTTGAGATCTTTAATTCAGCAGGTAGCTGACTCGTAAGTACCATTGTGTTATTGATCAAATGGATTGTTTACATATGTAACGGAACTTTCTGTTCCTTAATTATTAAGCTGAATTGTTTCTCTGACTTTTGGTCAAGTATTGCTTGCTTGTCAACCAAAGATTCGTACACGTGTAGGATAACTTGTTCCATGTCCCACACCATTCATTATGTGACTTCGGTTACTATCAGCGTTGTTTAGAAAGAATTGGTGAAGTTGTTGGTTATGGCTTCTATTGAGAGCAATGGTATCTATTCATAAACCTCATGCTAAACAATTATGCTTATTTCACTCGCTTCTGCAGTTTACCAGATACGATCATATACGATGGCGGTCACGCCATATACTCTGAAGATCCGTTACCTGGTGTCACAACGGACCCCGTAGAAAGACAGATTGAGATCAAGGAGCCGTTTGGTCGGGACCGCCTTCTTCTGAAGTACCGGATTATGGAAGTGCAGAAGGTATCTACTTCCGACATCAGCCATTTCATAACGAATCCGAAAGCGACCTCTATGAACATGCCTCAGGTAAGGCTGAATATGTTTCATATTTGTCTAGGAATGTATCAGATTGTTAGACTGCATCTTGAAGACGGTGTCAAAGCAGTCGTTTGTATCCCTTGGACGCTCAGCCCTATTTCAGCAAACACCAATTAAAGTGGTTATGGATAAGCTTTTCACTATTCATAAGGGTTTCATCAGTAGTGTGCGACCCCATGGAAAGTTCGTGTCAACTTGGATATGGTAAGTAGTGGTTCACCTTCTTTTTTACATATAATCACAGACGTGCAAGGCCTACTTTGTATCCGGGAATCTAGCGGACGTCATGTACTCGAAGTATGGAGACGATATGGTTAGATGTAGCACTCAAATGGCATACGACTTGAGAAAGATACGAGTTGAGACTGATAAATTCTACAAGAGCGATGATGGTATGCATGTTTTCTGTTATACCTCATACATTTTAGGACGTGCATATTCCCGACGCTTCACCGTGCACGGGATATCATCACTACCAGCCGATCGTTTGATGATTGAGGAGTTGAACCAGTCCGTGGCTGAATATTTCAAGCAGCACCATCATATCACTCTGAAGTATCCAGAACTGCCCTGTGTGAAGGTAAATTTTCATTTCAGTGATTATTTTTGTAGGTTGATCAAAAGCGTGAAGTGTATATGCCGATGGAACTGTTAAACATTTTGCCATATCAAGCTCCTAATGCGAGTAAAGCCGATATTGCGAGTGAAGTTATCCGTTGTGCAGCAATTCGACCACAGGAGCGCTTCAGAGAGCTGGAGAATTTTGCTAATAATATGCTGAAGTAAGAAATTTATTTGAGTTGATACTACCAGTCAGTACTAAAGTGTAGTGTTGCTTATTGATCCAAGAGTTGAGGGTAAGCATGTTGAGATAGACGAGCTTTCGATGATTGATTTCTTCGGCATTCCATGAAGCTTATAGCTCGACACTCACTGTTGTAGCGCATTAAAAGGATGGTGAGAAAGTAGAATAAGTAGTAGGTTACAATGCCAACCCTGGACACTTGTGGAGATTTCCGAATTATCACACTTAGCTTCTATAGATTCATTGGTGGTGTCCTCTAGAATGGGCGGAGAAGTGCTCAAGATAATGCTACTTTAAGTTGTAGCCGATAAGCTATGGATCTGTAGGTCCTTCCAACTACAAGCCAACTCAGTTTTCCCATGATTGGAAATTCTAGTCTTCATTGTATTCCTGTAAAGAGACAAGTTGAAGGTGAGAACGGAAGCACACTATTAGACGAATGATTGGTTATAGTTGTATTTCATTGGTTGTTTACGCACAGTGATAAGCTTTTGATTTCTAGCAAAATTGCTACTAGCTATTGGAATTGAAATACAATTACACTTGATTGATGTATTCCACAATGCGTAAACTTCTCACAGATATTATTAGATGAGCGCTTTGTGAACGTTTTGATGACAGAAATCTGCTGTCCGTTGTGTCAGCCGTAATTTTGAAATTTGAATAAACGAGGTAAATGCCACAGTCCTGGATAAGTGCCGGAGATCCTTGACGTAACGCCTACCTACAGAGTTTATTGTTTGTTTTCCAAGCATGCAAGTAGATACGACATACACTGTTTTGTACATCGATTTGATAAGGACGCAGAATGTGGCGGTGTCTAGTTGGTTATAGTGGGTCACGAGTTATATAATTGCACAGACCTGCGACTAGTCGAGCACGACAAAATTAGAGTAGTGTTTGTTGACTGTGTGACAGTGAAGAGGACTCAATTGTAGGGTAGGTATGCTTGAATGCAAGTCTGGAACCAACTGTGTAGGAAGGTGTGTAAACGACGTTAGCCTGGAGCCAGATTTTATGATTTACTCAATGCATTGTTTTGTAATTATGAGGGTTTCTTTTGACATGACATTTGTTCCATTTCCTCCAAGGTCCCACCCACTGATCAAACAATTTGGTTTGGCGATTCAACCGAGGCCAGTGGAAGTTAACGCACGTGTTATCCAACCGCCAACTGCTGGCTTTGGTCGTTCCGGTGTACAACAGCTGACGGCAGGTAGTTGGAGCACGCCTGGCTTTCTTCACCCTGCCGGCGAAGGAGTAGAAATAATGTGGGCTGTACTTAGCATTCCGCCTAATCAGGTATGTTTTCTACTCCGGTTCAACATAAGATTAGTGCTGTAACAAAGTTGAGTTGTACAATCACTTGGGCACCAAATTGACATTGTAGACTTGGTCATTTGTCGATTGTATCAACATCGAAGGGTACCTCGCCTAGTTCCATGACAGCCCACCTACTTTATTGTTCACTGCATTACGTCGGTGGCAATATCATCTTTTATTTGTCAGTGTTTAATGCTCTGTATACAAAGAGGAGGTTTTGTCTGCCTTTTAATAAAGTGAAGGAAATGTTGTCAGATGGGTAGAGTAGCCTGAGAAGTGTGCACTTAATTCTGGTTTGTTGTCAAAAGGCATGTGTTATTGTTGAAAACAGTTAATCGCTTTTATAAATTTGGACAGTGTTTTTAGAAGACGGAGATTATCTGAAAAGTGAGATGTATTTGCGCGATACATTTGGAAGAACTTTTATGTTATTGTTATTGTCAAATGTAAACGCGAGAACTGACTGCTTCATCTCCTTGCCATGTTTTCTTCCTAGCGGTCTCATGGTCATGTACAGAAGGTGATATCGGAATTGCCTAGAGCGGCCAGTCGCTTTGGTGTTCGGTTTAGCCCTCGACCGATTGTGGCACAGTGTCCGAGAGGAGAACTTAACAGGAGGTTCGAGGAGTTTTCCAGACAAGGCTGTGGCTTCTTACTTCTCATCCTGTACGATGAACATTTCTACTCATCGATTAAACGTCTGAGTGACCTGCAAATGGGGATTCGGACTCAATGTGTACGAGCTCGTACTCTGGACAAACCGAACGTTTTCCGTAAGTAATGAGTGTTGTTCACATGTAGCCTTCAGTGTGTTTCTGTATTTCGATGAGTTTAATTCGGTTTTCTGCTTTCAGCGAACCTGTTACTCAAACTGAATGGGAAACTCGGCGGTGTGAACTGGCGAATTCCTGACCTTATTAAGGACAGTCAAGAGTTGGTTATGGTTTTTGGAGCCGATGTCACTCATCCTGCGCCTACACAAACTCATCAAATTCGAAAGTCAGTAGCTGCTGTTATTGGTAGTGTTTCACCCGATCTTATGAGGTACGGGGTAGTTATCCGTCAGCAGGCAACCACAGAAAAGGGGAATAAGGCAGCCAGAGAAATAATCGATGATATGCGTCTCAGTGTCAAGGAGCTACTCCAGGTTAGTTTTCATCAATGACCAACTCTACTGACTCACATTCCCCTTTTTCCCGTTGTACGCTTTCGTTCTTCCTTATTATTTGTGTTTTGTTGCAGCTTTACCTGCGTAACACGAACGGGCGTTTCCCGACGCGCATGATATTCTATCGCGATGGAGTTTCGGAGGGCCAGTTCGAAAATGTGTTGGTGGAAGAGCTGTGTGCAATTCAACGAGCTTGTGCAGATGTCCGTCCTGGCGAGGAGCCAGCTATCACTTATATTGTTGTGCAAAAGCGTCACCATATTCGATTTAGACCATCTGACCCCAGGTAAGGTATTTGCTCATGATGTTTCCTGTGTACGTACTACACTTTATTCGTGTCTTAACGGTCTGTTTGAATGCTTTGTTAGGGCAAGAAACGTGGAGCCAGGACGGTGGTTGATACAGATATCACGCATCCCAGGGAATTTGATTTCTACCTCTGCTCTCAGGAAGGGATTCAGGTAAATTGTTTCTTTGTGCTAATGCCATTACTTTTAGGGTACATCGAAACCTGCTCACTATCACGTGTTGTATGATGATAGTAACTGGACATCGAATGCTCTTCAGATGTTCACCTACCACTTATGCTACGCGTACATGAGGTGTTCCCGTAGCGTCTCGTATCCAGCGCCGACTTATTATTCTCATTTGGCTGCATTTCGGGCACGTGAGTGGTTATCGGACATAGAGAAACCAGAGATTCTGTTAGATGCTGGTCGTTTCAGAGTTCACAGCAGTCAAGTTGACGGCATGTTTTACTTATAAACAGATTTTGTTATTTTCATATAAATTGTATTTCCTTTTGAATCCATCTTCCCTTTTAATAATAATAATAGTATAATGATAATGATTTACTTCATTCCAAAAGCAGTACTTGTGATACAGAATGGGATTTTCAGCATTAATCACAATATTTCATCAAATTATAAATAAAATTAATCCCAGAAAATTTTCCAAAAGCATGCAGTATGTAAAATGGAAATAATAATAATGATAACAGCTAAGGTAATAATAATACAAGTGAAAATTGCCGTTGGCCTCTTTGACACAGTATTGTCGATGCGGTATGGTAATCCTAGCATGTTTAAAATATTGAATACAGTGTTCTCTTTACATGATATGGTGAGGGGGAAAACAAAGATTACAGCAGTCATAGACAAAAGTTGGTGTTTGCAATTATTAAAGTAAAACAAAGAAGCAACAGAACCATAAATATAATAGGAATAATAAAAGTAAAACTTGAAGGTATATAAGGATGGATGGAGGAAATTGTTTCTTTACTACAAGATGAAAAAAGGTTAGTTAACTGTAGTTTGTTAGGGCGATGATAAGGCATCGACGTAATACTGATAAGAAACTTTGAACACTTCACAATTCGATGGTTGATTCGGACATGTTTTCTGGGAAGAGGTGACTGACTGCATTTGAGGTGTTCTGACCTCTGCGTCCCCGCTGTGTTGACGAAGAATCGGTTGATGAGGCAGTGTCAACACCTGGCATTGATAAGTCCATTAACGTGCGTGTTGTGGGTAAGAGTAAAGAAGGTGTAATTTCGAAGCTAGTTGTCCGTACTCTTGAGCAGGGGATTTCGGAAATGCATGTCTTCTGTGGCAGTGTGAATTCCAATAATTTATTTGGCCAAGATGGTGGTTAATCTGAATAGTTCGAGCATTTCTCGGTGGATATCACAGCTGTTAAGGTCGATTGATCACTATTTGCGTAGTGAATGATTACCTCAAATGCTGTTTTATTTTACTTAGATAAGAACATAGTATTTATGTTATGGGCACTGAGTGTTAACTGCGACATCGTGATTGATTACAATTCTCAGTTGTACGGGATGACGTGCTGAGGCACTCATTCGTATGATCTTAGACCCCACGTAAGAAACCGTAGGCTATCGACAGACGCCAAACCATCACAACTATGCTTCATCGCAGATGTTGAAATGAGACAAACCAGTGTGCGATACTTTGAAGAGCCTGGGACTCCGAAGTGATGCAGTCATTTGCCTTCGATTGTTTTGCAAGTGGTATACTACTACTAATAATAATAATAACAGCTCTATTCCAAACAGTATTTGTGGTACAGGTATGGAATTTTCAGCGTGCGTTACAGTATATTGCATCTAATTACCTCATAAATTATATAAGATTTTTAAAAATCAAAAATAAATAAAATAAATAAGTTATAAATAAATAAAATAAATAAATATTAAAAATTAAGAAAAAAAACAAACAGCGTAGAGTATTTCATTTCAAACAATGCACCACAGGATATGAAATATAAAATTGGTGTGTAATAGATGAGGAGAACAGTGTAATAGTAACGAGGAAAGGAAAACAAAAACTAATGGGACTATTTGTTAGAGTGCTGCAGTAAGTTAATCGTGTCATACCTAACGGATTTCTCATCACATAACAGCTGTGCCAGATATGGTATTGTGGACTTTTTGTATTTGGTAGTCTTAGCATATAGCCTCCTATAGCTGCTTCTAGTTCTTCCAGATGAAATGCAAGGAGATAGATGCGTATATAGAGGATGCTCGGGGTCCGACAATATTGTATTCGCTAGTTTCTTACATGACATTATATGTCTATCTACAATAGTGTTCACCAGTTGGTTTAACGATATCCCACTTGCCCTACTAACAGCTTTTAGTGCCCTTCTCAGTGAAGCAAAGTCTTTCTTAAGTAGTCCAGGAAAGACTAATGGGGAGCAGTAAAGAAGGATGGGTAGAATACAAGAATTTACAAACTGAGAAAGTAAAGACTGGTTTATGCCAGACTGCCTAAATTTCCTAATGTAGAACGTTAAGCGAAACATCTTTCTAGTAACTAGCAAGATGTGGGAAGACCAGGAAAGATCGGTGGAAAAACTCAGCCCAAGGTACTTGACATAAGATGTATTTTCACCCTCTGTGCCGTCAATGAGAGTGGGGCCATGTGAGCTAACTAGTTGCTGTAGGTCACATTTACGTCTGAAAGTAAAATTAACTACCTGACATTTAGACGGATTAAGCTTAAGTCTGTTTGAAGAGGACCACTGACTAATTTCCGACAGAAAGCTATTTAATTTGGGACAATGTGACTGAGAGTTGACAGGCATAGAAACCGAGAGGTCATCGGCATATTTAACAAAAGTGGCTACATCAGAATGAGGCAAGTCATGTAAGAAAAACGAGAACAGAAAGGGAGAAAGAACAGCACCTTGAGGAACACCAGCTAAAGTAAGTGAGGTAGTGGAGGATTTTCCATTGTAGACGGTGTACTGCTTCCTTTCAGAAAAATAGGAATGCAACCACTTATTTGTCCAGCTTTCAGCCTGTGTTGCAGCAAGCTTACTTAGCAAGAGAGACCTGGGAACAGAGTCAAATGCAGATGTGTAATCAAGGAAGGCACAGCGAACGTATTTAGCTCCTTTATCTAAACTAGAGACTATGCTATGGTGGAGGACGACAGCGGCATCTGACGTACTCCTACTATGTTTATAAGCAAACTGGTTGGGGTCGTTGAAAGGTTTTAAAGAGGGATCAAGATTAAGTAAAATAAGTCTTTCCATAACTTTCAAAAAGGGTGAGGTAATTGAAATGAGACTCGACTAGGTAACCATTGTTTGACACAACCGGACGTTGTTCAGTAGACTATTGGTCGATGGCAGTCATTTTAGTGCAGAGTGCGTGAATTGTTATTTCTCAAAAATTGTGACTTGATCCTACTTGTTAGGTTATAATAAGCACGACTACAGTAATCACCATCGTAAGTCAAATGGTACATGAAGAAGCCAACTGGTCATCTTGTCAATCATATCACTTCCTTCACATATCACTTTATTGTCTTGTCATTCACAACTGGCCATCTTCCTATAAAGATGAGCCGGTAGCTGTTACTCTGTCCCCACTAATATCCACATCTATGATACAGTTTACTACATATTGTATTTTCTGATATTTGCTCTCGGTGTTTAACATCCCTGGTGCTTTTTGCATAACATGGGATTGTTGGGATTAAAGAATCCAGGAGTGAGTCGACTGTTAAAACATTCATGTGTATGATAACGTATACAAATATAATACCAAATTGATGGTTTAGAATCACAAGGTGACAATGAATACACAGTAGTGTTTGTCCACAATTAGTGTTTAACATGTATTTCACTTAGCCTGGTGATAAATTCCATAACATCAGGGAACGGAGTGAAGAGTCCTTTGTGTGTGTGTGTGTGTTGGTGTGGGAGTGTTAAGGTTTGTTCCCACTGGAATGGTAGTCGTGAGGTAATGTTGATCATAGTTGTAGGCTCCTGTAGTGTGAGAAGATCAGTACACAATGATCATTATCATAAAGACAGCCACTAATTATCCAATGATAATCTTTCCTTTCTGAAATTCGTATCAACTGACTTATGTATGCTATTTATTAGCAGAGAAAATGAACTGACTTTGAAAGTAATTTTAATTCTCGTTGAGCTCCTCTAGACATCTGTATGGAAGGCGATTTCGTATTCTGAGGTGTCATCCTGTTCTACTTCATTCGCCAACGCCTCCTGAAAGTGTCTGTTTTCTTTCCTACCATTGTTCATTCGTCTGCCCAACGAACTGTAGGTTGTGCCCAGCTCCTTCTCCCGCTGTTCGTCACTGCACTGGTTTATCTTCTACTTCTCCTTCCTTCTGTCCTCTATCAGCCGCAGAGTGTCTGTAGAGGGTCTTTCCTTGTCTTATCTCTTCTCGCCTCAAGTGTCTATACAGGTTTCTCCGCACGTCGCTTTTAGAAGGTCCCAGTGTACTCCCAGGCAGATTACATCGGTGATTTTGGTTATTGTCTCCGACATTTTCCTGTTGTCTGCGGTGAAGGTGTCCTTTGTAGCCCGGCCTTCAGTTCCTGAGCGTTCAACTTGAATTGTGGTCCATCTCCAGATTATGCTGCATATGCATTCTTACTGAATATTTACTATTCTAACTAAACACTTATTTTCAACTTTACCATTAATATGTGATCGCAGTTCCGGACAATTTCAATGGACTCGATAATATACTGTCAGTTTCCTTACTTATGCTACTGAAGTCCTAGTATTTCAGATCCAATGTGTCTCTCTGTAGAAATATATATATATATATATATATATATATATATATATATATATATATATGAGATAGAGAGAGAGATGACAATGCATCCACTATTCATCTATCGATGGCCTTTCACTGACATTTTTTGCATTTTCTAGATATACACTTGGGAATATATTTGATTTGCTGTAACTTTGATGTTTAATCGTTTTGACAGATAAATGCACATTTACTTGGGTGCATATGACAAATACAACTCATCGGACTACATGGAACCTAAATGTTCATCTCGACTATGCTAATAGTACCCTTGTTTTCTGTCAATCCTTACTCATTAGACCAAATTATCTGCACATAATTAAGTGTAGTCTTAAGAACCCACTGTCCAGTTAAATTTTCGTAAGTGGTAGTGAAGGTTTGGTTTGGCACGTCACTGTAAGATAAAGTTGAAAGATTTGTCAGGCTTGTGAAATGTTTACAGGATATTTCCACTCTGTGGTCATGTAAAAGTATTCCATGCGAAAAGACTGGGTATAGTTAGGTGAACAAACGAACGATCATTGAAATTTGCCATTTTAACCACATTTTGATAACAGGCAGTGAATTCTCAGGTGTTGGGTTTTCAGGGATTCGATTAATTTCAATACATATTTCCAGTGCTCCCTGGTTTTCATCGATTCCCTAACTGTGCTGATTTGTAAACATTCTCACACTCATAAAATTCAAGTGTTCGTGAGACAATGAGTCACATGTGATTGTCTGTTCAGTTTCTAGACTAGGACTGGAATTAACTGATATCTTGCCAGGTTATTCAAATACATTAGAATAAATGTGTCCAAATAGTATCTCGCT